CATATTTTTATCAGTATCTGAAAATAAGAACAGTAGTCCTCGAATTTCGAATGAGCGTACAAAGCGCCGAAGATAACGGTTTCTCTTCTGTGTGTGAGAACTTACCTTTCCTACATGCTTACCAGTTGCCATATACCTGAAGGCATCTTCTACTTCAGTTATTTTGAATACCTTTCTAGGTAGTGGCTTTATTATGGAGTTTCTCAAGCCTTGTACACATAATTCACTACAATTCTCTTCCTTTCTTCTTTGGCGTCAAGTAGTTTGTCAAACATAATTCCATGAAAACTAATATTTCTCGCAAACGCCATTTTGTTTAAAGTATTATTGGAAATTAAATCGTATTTCCCGATTTCCAAAAATCTACCGCCTCTCGCCAAACAGCGAAGGGATGCTTGAAGCTTTTTTTCAGCTAAAGAATTCAACACGATGTCAACACCCTGTCTTTGTGTCTGCTGAACGATCATTTGTTCGAAACTTGTGTTGTGAGAATTGCCAATATGATTATCGGGAATACAGGGGAATGTTTCTTTAATGAATTGTCATTTCTCGGGAGTTCCGACTGTCGTAAATATTTCGCATCCTTCATGAAGCGCTAGATTAATCGCGGCTTGTCCAACGTCACCGCTGTCCGAATGAATGAGAACTTTGTCTCCTTTTTTAATTTTTCCACGCATATATAGCACATAATAGCTTGTGGCATAAACGCATAAGGAATTGTGGCAGCGTCCTCGAATGTCCATTCATCAGGTATAACCCAGGATAAGATATCGTCGTGAATTTGTATATTTGATATTCCACTGAAAAATTAAATGGTATAAATCAAGTTAACGTTTTTTCTTCGATCTCGGAAGAAAAACTGAAAAATTGTATTAATTTCAGAATTGAAGGTCCATCAATATAATATCATCATAAGTATTTATATTTTCAGTATAATAATTTTGGTAATTTAAGTGATAGTATAAAACCTGTCTGGACATATTCCCATTATACGCTGTCCATTCTCATCAAAACCGACAAATTCGAAACCTAATAAGGAATCAACATTTCGTTTAATCGATGCAGAGGGATCCAGAGCAAGTTTCCCGGTAGCTATCATCACATCTCTGAAATTCAGTGCTGCATAAACTATACGTATAAGATTTTCAGGCTTGATTTTCGGAGATGCACGTCCTTCGACCCAACGAAATGTACTCAAATCACCTGGAATCTGAATAGAAATTAATTTTTACGGATTTTCAATAAATACGGAGCAATAATGAGTAAATTTGGTTTCAGATCGCTTAGAATATCATGGAAATTAATTTCAACTCATTCTTATTGATATGAAAATTTGCATGCCACATAATTCAATATAAAAAGAAGTATTTTCAAAAATTTACGATGCATACTTGACAAGGAATTAGATAAATATTTATACACATTTTTTGTTTCGAATGAAAATATTAACGTACCCTTTGAACGACGTAACCGCACTGTACAGGCCTCGGTTCTGGTAGTGATAATGCAAAGTGTCGATAAGAGCCCCAAATTCTCCCGGGACCTAAGACATTAATGGGTAAATCTAATCGCAATTGATTCATAT